GTTGGTTGAGATGCCAAAGTGTGCAACAGAATAAAACCTGCGTGCAAGTATTGGATACTAAAGAGGGAGTTTTTTTTTTTACATCAAACTCGCATTGAAGAAGAAATTCTGTACCCCCAATTTTCTTTAAAAACAAAGTTTAGAGTTAAGAACCACATCTTATCTTTATTCCCAATGTAATGTTTAATCCAGTTCAACTTGAAAATTATATAGAAGAATGAAAATCACGCACATCCTATATGCATGTCACCCCACTGCAACTTGATAAATTGGTTAATCGCCATTTGAATAAATAACATTTTAGCTTGGTTAGCTCTGATCTTATGATATCCATGTTTGTGTTTAGAAGGGATGGACTGAGAAAGTACCATTTTTGACACCCTGTGAGTGAGACCACGCTGGTCACGAAATACTCTCCATAAACTGGTGACTGAGGCTATTCTCCAGAGTGCTGGCAAGTGAGTGTGTGTGTGTGTGTGTCTCAGTGGAAAGCTGACAATCACAACATGAGACTGATGGCCTCAGATTCATCACTGGATGGATTTCACACACTCAAACACTTACATGGTGGCTGGGTCACAGCAGTGAGCGGGGAGAGAAATGTCTTTTAAAATTTAGCCAAATCCTCCTAACTGCTTTCCCAGCTCTCTGTCGCCATGGAAACCCAAACTTCAAACGCAATTAAGCACACAAAATGAACAGCACTCACACATTCACCGCTCTCTCCAGTGGTATCCTGTTAGCTGGTGTTCTCTGCCTAAATAAAGCAGAGCAGAAAAACACGCAGACCCGTGCTGTCCAGGTATGAAGGATCGAGTCTGTGTCTGAACTAAACAGAAGCTGATTAAAGACAAAGACAACTGCAAAGAGACAAAAAAAGAAGAAGAATGCAGTGGGTTTCTCAGGGTAGAAAAGATGTGAAAAGAGAAAGAGGCAATGAGGAAGTAAAACCAAGCACAGACAGAAAGCAAGGCTCTTCTGAGTATTTATTCCTCCCCGCAGCGCTGAGCAGAAGGGTGGAGCAAGACTAAGACCATTTTCTTTTCTTCAGACTGTAAAGGTTAAAAGAGTGAAACCACAAAACACATCTACACAACACTTTCTGTCAACACAAACCAAACTCCCCCCGTCTGTTGTAGGGGATTACTAATAAAAATTAACTGTGTTTTCTCTGGCAGTGTTGTTCTTTCACCTTTACACAATATGACATCTCATATTACACCGCTTTCCTTTTTTTGCTCTGTGTGTGTGTGTGTGTGTGTGTAAATGTGTGTGTGTGACTCCTCTAACTGTCAGTTTGGAAAGGAGAGTTTGACACAACACTGTTCATTAGCGGTTAACAGCTAACTCTGCACTGCTGTGTGTGTGTGTGTGTGTGTGTCGTCTCTTCATTAACACGTCAACTCCTCCACTCTGAGGTGACACATTAAAACATTCTGGAATATTCTGCTCTGCATTAATTAGCATAGATTTACATGCTAACGAGCAGAGAGGAGCTGGACCCCGGCACGTGTTCCAGTTGGAATAAAACCACATTTCTGATTTGTGGTGTATCTGCGATTAAACTGTCCGTAGAAAATACGGAGGGAAATATGTTTATGTGAAATGTATGCATGTGTATTTATGGTAAAGCTGTTTCACATGATGGATTCATGGGTGATTTTTTTTTTGCACGGGTGAGATAGGTTGAACTTTATTAATCCCCAAAGAGGAAACTGGTTTGCCACCGTAGACAGAGACAAAGACACAATATACACAATACACCATTTACACAATAGATAAACACCAGGAGGAGTCATTAAAAGTAAGCACATATTTCCATTGCAACAACAATAACAGGGTCAACAAAAGAGTGATAACTGCGCATGCATTTCACACATCTGTATAAAGAGGAAGGTGAAAAAGGAAGTATACAATGTGTTGAAGAAAGGAACTGATATGGTGACACATTAAAGGAAAGGAGGAAGAAGGGGCAATCAAAAGAACAAAAGAAGGTAAAATGACTGCCACTGAACCATTGTTGTTAGAAAGTAAAAAATGAAAGAGGGAAGGAAATGAGATGAAAGAATGAAGGAAGGAGACGGGCAGCAAAGAGGGTGAAAAGGGAAGTATAAAAAAAGTAAGAAACATGAAGAGCTAAAAGTGGACAGAGGGAAGGAAAGGGTGAGAAATAAAGAGACAGAGGAAGGCAAGGAAATGAGATGGAACAAGGGTAAGATAGCAAAGAGGAAAGACATAAAAGAATAATAAAACAAGATGAGCCGCTGAAAGATGGAAGGAGAAAAGGAAGTAGAAACAAGGACAAAAGGGAATTAAGGAATCAGTTGAATAACAGGTGCAAAATCTCAGTAGCTGCAACCACATCTGGGCATGCATCAACATGTTCGTACATTCACGCACACAGAACCTGACAAACACTCATCACGCGTCCAATGATGCCTTCCTACGACAACTGGTTCATGAGTTATGAAAGGGAAAATGGCAAAATTGTGGTGTGTGTGGGTGTCTTTATTTTAAGTGCAGTCATCTAAAGTGAAAGTCAGGAGTCATGCCTGTTTGTAAGGGCCCTGACACACCAAGCCAACGGTCAGCTGTTGGTCAATGTCAGGCTGTCTGTAAGCATCTGTCACCCTAGTATTTGAGGTGTGTCCCGCACTGTTGGCACTAGTCAGCCCTTGTCGCCTTTTTCGTCCGATTCAGCGAGTTGAATCGGCATCCGAGATGGCCCGTCAGTAAATAAAATCACTCTGATTGGCAGTTCAGTTCAGCGCACAGGAAGATAAGTAGAAGTGAGGAATGTAAACAAAGAGCTAAAGTCAGGAGGGAGTGAGACCAAAACAAACTTGCGACATAAGGCAAGATGTTGGTGAAGATTCTCAGTCATCCAGGTCATTGTAATCATAAGTGCTATATTGTAGGCAACTGGACTTGCTTGTGTTTCTTGAAGACGTTTCACCTCTAATCCAAGAGGCTTCTTCAGTTGTAAGAGACTGGTGTGGAGTTCCTATGGACAGCCGATGTTATAGCACTTACATACATACATTACATACGGTAAGATTATTTGTCTTTAGCCATTGAATTCTTTCTAGAAAACATTGGCATGTGGGGCTCATGTGGGTGGTAAATGGGCTTAAATGGGCCCTATATGGGATTGTCCATGGGTTCAGTAATGGCCCCATGCCAGCTGACCACATGGATGGGTTTACCCAAATGGACTATACATGGGTTATGCTAGGGCTACCTGGGTACCAAGTGGGTTTGGGCCCAACATGGAGATCTTATCTGGAGCCCACTTGGGTAAAATCAACCATGTGGGCATTCAGTATGGGGCCAATGTAGAACCTGTGGACAATCCCATATAGGGCCCATTTTTCAACCCAACCCCAACATTTTGTGATGGTTTGTGTTGTCGCTCACGGGCACTGGATTGTGTTGTTCATGTGCTAACTGGCTAACTAGCGTCAGGATGATCTTACGGTTTCCCTGATTGGAAGACGATTACAGACGACCATCATCTGCTAGTGTGGAGAGTTATTTCCTCACATGGAGGCACAGGACATATGTGCTAGGTGGCCGTTGGCTGTAGTCTTTGCGGTGTGTTCATGAGCAACTTTTTGGCCGAGACACGGTGATGTCAGGCGATGCAGCTGGGGGTATCCATCTTCCTAACTAGCTCTCCGAAGTCATTTCAGTGAGTCTGGGCCTTTAGGGAAAACTGTGCCTGGCAAAGGGTGGGGAACTTTTGTGGACCACTGACCAACAGAAAGACCTGTGGAGCTTCGGTCCACGGCTAAAAACAAACGGATACGTCACTGAAGTCACTGAAAAAGGAAATGAGGAAGAAAAATGTAAAAAGATTAAAACAGGAGAGAAACACAGGGGGAAGGAAGAGGCAGGAAGGAAGCACAAAGGGAAGCTGTAAAAGAAAAAAAAACAATAAGGAGGAAGAAAAGGAGAGAAATTAAAAAAGGAAGGAAGGAAGGAAGGAAATAAGCAGGAAGGAAGTGGGGGAGGAAGGAAGTTGTCAGCCACTAAAAGGAGGAAGGAAGTGTAGAAACACGCTAACACACTAAAAAGAGTCTTTCACATGGTGTGAGCAAAACAAGGTGAGAAAGAGTTTAAAAATCTCTTCTTCACGTTGTTGGAAAAAACAGCAGGACACCTGAAACACACGCACACACACACACACATGGACAGATCACAGATGTACTCGCCCACACACTCACTCAGCACACTTTCTCCGACACTCAGCACACGCACACTCTGGCAAGAATTTACACACACAGTTTTTTGAACTCCTCCCACCTGCAGACACTGTGAACACACACACACACACACACACTCCAGCATGCCACAATATATGTGTGTGTGTCTGGGAGGAAGTGAAACGACAGAAAAAGTCTGAATTGTGTCAGCATGTGTGTGTGCCTGTGTTATACGAGCAGCTGTGAAGGTCACTCCTGTTGCGCTGTTAGACACACACACACACACACACACACACTTCCTCGCTGTTTCTCACACTTTCTGTCTGTCTCATTCTCAGACAAATAGGTGAACACAGGAAGTGGTGTGTTTTACATTTATAGTTTAAGAACAAACAGAACTGTGTGAACAATAAAGGTCAACATGGCCGAGGAGCCAAAAGCAGTCACCTACAGACACTGCTACAAGAAACTGAATTAAATTTTGCTTTCTCTTTGCTGAATATTTGGACTTTCTAATGTTGATAATCTTCACTTTTGTTTGTTTGTTTTGTTTTTGTTGTTGCAGTATCACAAGCTTATCTGTTAGTGGTTAAGATTTCACAAAAAGACAGAGTTGTAGTTCATGAAAAGCTGATATTTTGGAGGTTTATCACTATAAAGTGAGTTTCATTTATCTTGTGTAGATGTTCAACACTTTCCCTTAAGGTGAAGTTAGTTGTTCTACTGCTCCCCTTGCTGGTAGACTGATTGTAAAGCAACTAATGATCAAAGAAGTCTGCATGCAACACCCAGAAATGTCTTTAAAATGTCATTTATTAAATTACAAAAATAAAAAACGTAAAAACAAGCAACATGAAAGCTGAATCTGCAACTGATTTGTCCGGGAAACTCAGTCAGTCCTTCCTTGTTTTTGGTTTCGGGGCTGAAACAGACAGAAAGTATGAAACTGTTAGAGAAAGGAAAAGAAAATTGAGAAAATATAATAATGCCAAAGAAAAAGAAAGAAAACAAATTACAGTAAGGAAAAGTTATAAAAGAAAGGGAAGCGTGAGTAAAGAGTAAAAGTAAAGAAAAGACAATAGGTGAAAGGATGATGGAGGAGTAGAAAAGATAAAAGGAGAGGTGTAATTAAAGGAGAAAGTGATGAGAAGATGAGAGAATAGATCACAAAGGGGATACAAAAATGAGAAAATGGAGGAAGAGAAAATATAAGATGAGGAGAAATGAGGAGGTGAAAGAGGGGAGAAGAAAGGAGAAAGAGAGAAAAGGAAGAACAGAAGAAGAGGAAACAGTTTTTAATCACCGTTTGGATTCTCCTGTTTGTAGAAAGTCTTCAGCATCTCTACAGCTTCTTCTGCTCTGTGACCTGAAACACACTGAACATACACACACACACACACACAAGATACACAATCATACACACTATACGGCCAAAAGTATGTGGACACCCGTGTATGACAACTAAACAAGTTGTTCCAAAATTATGGGCATTAATCTGCTGCTGTAACGGCCTCCACTCAACATCGACACATGAGCACAGTGTACTTTACAAGGAAAAGACACGCACGCATAAAACATGGCAGGTGGACGAACATAAAAAGACATCAGGGAAAAGCACAGACCTTGAACGTGGTCCCAGTCTGAGGTAAGTCTGCAGAGGAAACGTCCAGGACTGAGCCGCAGCCTCCGAACCGCTCGTTCCTGCAGCCGTACACAACAAACGGGATATCTGACAGATGGTAAAGAAACAACAACTGTCATCTATGATCTCACACACACACACACACACACACACACACACACAGAGGTAGGTAGAAGGATACTGAGCAGGCGCAGGGCTGCAGCACACATGATGCACGGCTCCACGGTGACGTACAGGGCTGTTCGCTCGCACACGCTGCTCACATCCAGGTTGCTGTGGTGACACCAGTCCAGGAGCTGGTCTAGGGCCACCATCTCAGCGTGACGAGTGGCCTAACACACACACACACACACAAGATTTAAAGCGTATTTGCTCTATAAACTGTCTGTTTATGAATATTGATTAGTGGAACTTTAAATCCCATTTAGTGATCACGTAAACAATGCAAGACATTCAATACCCTCCCTGTGCCCTTTAATGTAAAGCTCATTAAGTTTACATGTAACTAAATGTGCTGTGTATATTAATAAAATTGACTTGCCCCAAATTGTTTGCCCGAATATGAAGTTACTGTGGTGGTTTGGAGACTGCACAAGCTCATACATGACTGACGTGATGAGAAAACCAACAAACAACAGAAATTTAATTTCATGCTATGTTAAGTAAACTTATAGATTTCTACGTGGGGCTAATTGTCAAGTTTTCTCAGCCATAAAAATAGGACAAAAGTCAGAGTTTGTTCAGTCAAAGGCAGCACATTCTTCATTTTTCCTACATTTTTGGTCTCGTTGACTTCATTCCTTCCCTTGCCCACGACTTCATCGTTGTAGACCATCAGACATCCAACTGGCACCTCTCCATTCTCCAGAGCATCTTTGGCCTGCAGCAACACATTTACACCAGGTCAACACACAGCAACTACACACAGACTTTCAGGTAGTATTGAGAAGAAAGAAACCACACAGAAGAAACTCGTGGAGGCATAAAGCACACATCTTTATGTAGATTAGGGCTCTGACTACCTATTAGTTTCATTATCATTTTTTTTATCTATTGTTTATATTTCCTTGTTTATTTTTTTGCTTCTAAAATGTATTGTTTGTCCTTTTTTTGTTTATTCATACATTATTTTTGCACTGTAACTCTTTAATACTTCTACTACTACTACTACTACTGCTACTAATAATAATGATAAAGCTTGAACTGGCAAATGTTTGGCACATTTTCTAACATATTTATTGTCAGTCATGTAAAATGATAATTTCTGAACATATTTGGGACTCATTTCAAGACTTGCTGAATTTAAGGAAAGCTAGAGATTCAATATTATAACACAATCGATAGTGAAAACATACAGCAGCACTCCTGAAAAACACACAGCTATAATTAATAAGTAGCTAAGCACTTTTTAAGTGGTAAGGCATTTCTGTCATTAAAAATAATTCATAACGTGAATTTTGGCAATTATTCAAAAACGGCATATCATAAAAATAATCATAAAACAAAACTCAGATGACGAGTTAGTTAAAGTAACTTGGCTGAGATGTGAACGGAATAACAGTCATTTCTGACTCACCATGTCAAAAGCGCTGGACATCCACTTCTCAATTTCCTCATCACTCGGGTTAAAACTCTCCGCTTTACCGCCCTCCTCTGTTCCCATGGCAACTGTGGATATTTAGCTTAACTTAACAAACGTCATACTATTCGCATATGATGAGGGTTTGTAGCTTATTTCTTCGTTTTTAGTTACAATTTCGTCCGCTATAGTCTCCACGCCACTCACCCACACCAGTAAGGGGGACGATAATATTGGACGGACCAGTTCCAGACATGACCAATCGAGCTCCTCACAGCACCGCGGATCCCCACGTTCATGCTGACGCTTTCGTGCGTCAAGATGACTGCTGTTAGCTAGATGTAAACCGGAAATGAAGGGATTTTTCATAGAAAATAAAAGCTTATCTTCTGTTAGTGTATTTTTTTTTCAGGCATGTTAACTCATCCAGGTTTCAGGCTTTGGTCTACTCAAGCTGATTACATTTCATTGTGAAATCCTGTTTTGTATAATGACTATAATAAAACCTTGAATCCTTGAAAATACATAGCTTTACCCAAAGTAAAGTAAGTTATTGCGCTCCTGCCATTAAAAGGATGTAAAACAACGGCCTCAAAAACTATGTGTAATATTAACATCCCCTAATGTCCTTTACATTCCATTATGTTTTACAATGTTTTTCTACACCTTGAAATTCTCTTTTGATTAGCCTGAGAAATGTACGTCACCAATTTGGTTATTCTATGATAAACTCATTGTAGTTTATTTTTGTGCAAATGGGGTTAAAAAGATGTTGTCAAAATGCATGCATTACCTTACCAACTATATCACATCACCTTTTAAAAAAAATAAAAATAAAAATAAATAATAATAACATTCAGTCAGTGTTTGGGAACTGAGGACACTAATTGTTAAGGTTTTGAAGTGAAATTCTTTCCCATTCTTGCTTGATATACAACTTTGGCTGCTCAACAGTCCAGGGTCTCTGTTTTTGTATTTTGCGCTTAATGCACCACACATTTTCAATAGGAGACAGGTCTGGTCTGCAGGTAGGCCAGTCTAGTACCCCCACTCTTTCACTCAGAAGCCATGCTGTTGTAACATGTGCAGAATGTGACTGTGAACTGTCTTGCTGGAATAAGCAGTGATGTCACTGAAGAAGAAGTCATCTGGATGGCAGCATATGTTGCACCAAAACCTGTATGCTCCTTTCAGCTTTCATGATGCCTTCACAGATGTGCTGTTACCCATGATGCCATGGGCACTAACACACTTCCATACACTCACAGACGCTGTGTGATGGTCCTCTTTCTCTTTATCCCAGAGGACACAACATTCATGATTTCCAAAAACAATTGGAAAATGGAAAATGTGGACTCTTCAGACCACAGCACACTTTTCCACTTTGTGTCAGTCTATCTCAGACGAGCCTAGGCTCAGAGGAGTGGGCGGTGTTTCTGGATGTTGTTGATATATGGCTTTCACTTTGCATGGTCGAGTCTTAACTTGAATTTGTAGATGCAGTGATGAACTGTGTTTACCAACAGTGGTTTCAAAGTGTTCCTGAGTCCATGTAGTCATATCCTTGATACAGTCATGTTGGCTTTTAATGCAGTGCAGCCTGAGGGGTCAAAGGTCACAGGCATTCAGTGTTGGTTCTCAGCCTTCACCCTTACATGCAGATATTTATCTGGATTCTCTAGATCTTTTGATGATATTATGGACTGTAGATGGTGAAATCTCTTAATTCTTCTCAACTGTGCATTGAGAAAGGTTGTTCCTACACTGTTGAACTGTTTGCCCAAACAGCTTTTCACAAAGTGATATTTCTTGCTTGTGAATGGAATTTAAAGGATGCCCTTTTCATACACAATATGATACTTTGCACATTTCAGTCTTTTGTTGGCCCTGTCCCAACATTTTTGGAGCGTGTTGCAGGCATCAATTTCAGAATGAGCACAATAAAATGTATCAGTTTGAACATTAAATAGCTTGTCTCTGTACTCTATTCAAGTGGATATAGGTTGAAAAAGATTCCCAAAGCATTCTGTTTTTATTCACACTGCGTGCCAAAATTGAGGCATTTAAAAAAAGTGTTCCTATGACATTACTTTGTCCACCAGTGAGCACTGATAGGTTGCAAGTCACAATTTTTGAACAACAAAATTTAAATTGTCCTTATCAAAAATGTTTAAAAAAAGAAAAGAATGTCCAAATAAATAAATGGCTATCAGATTTTTTTTTTTATAATGTCAAATATTAATATAAGGATGGGTCCAAAAAGAAAAGTGGGAGGCTTTGATGTGGGACCTGTCTACTCATATTCTCTTTTCTTGCTGTTGTGCTTGTTCAGTTATGGTTAGATTATGACAACAAAAGTCTGTTATTATAATCTCATAACTATATAACACAAATATCTGGTGATTCCCTTTATAAACAGCAGTCTGTCTTCGGTTTTATCACATGTAATAGTTGTGACACACTAAACACTCATCTCATCTTTTATTTTGAAATCAAAAACCAGAAGTCATATTGTTTACTCCGCCTACCTTGACCGGCATACTTTGGCACGTTTGACAGTTAGCATGTTAGCAGAGAGTTGCTAACTATCCGAAGTCCTCAGAAAAAATGTCCGTAAACTAGTTTTAGCGCAGAGCTAAAAGTACAAAGTGTTCTTGGAGTTGTAGTTTGTGAACCTCTCAGTCTCCGAGGATGTTTTCATCTGTCTGGAATTTTGTTAAACGCCACAAAAGGAAATTTATTTTCACCGGAGCTTTAGTTGGAGGTAACTGGTGTTCATGTTAGCTTCAGAGCTAGCTAGTAACTTCAGCAACACGCCTGGCTGCACTGAAAAAGCCTCATATATTACATTTTATTACTTACAGGTTGACTTCATGCTTTTAAAAACATGTTACAAAAGCTTTTAAGAATCGAGCAGTGTGTATTTGCAGTTCGGCATATATATTATTCTCTATCAAGCAGCATCATTGCCAACATGAAGGTGCTGTTCCCAAACAACCAGCCAGGTGTAACGTTACTTTAATGGAGAATAATTACGGTACGACCAGACGACAAAAGTTGCACACCGCGTGTAAATTATTTCAATGAGCGTATTTCATTAGTTGTATTTGTAAATGAATGAGACATCCTTAAATTGCCAGAAAATATAATGAAGTTTGGTGTGACGTTACATTCATGGGAACAGCTCTCATGGATGCTACATGTTAGCATGTTAACTTAATGCTAAGCTCCTTGATGACCAGTAAGTACCTGCAATCAATCTCATTTGGCCTTGTAGTAACTGCAGGTTGGTTAATCAGGTTGTCTTATAAGACTGTCTAATTATATTGTAATAACTTGGTGACAGTTAATTAAGTACCTGCACCTGATGCATTTAGGGACCATTATACTTTGTAGTTTTGTTATATAACAATAAGGTGTTGCAAGGGGAATGATTTCTAGCTTTAACTGTGAAACACATGACAATTCATCAAAAGTTTTGCCATTTATTTATAAAGTGGAAGCATTTGCTTGGGTTTCATGGCTAAACAAAAAAAGAGAAACATGTAAGAACTGCTTTTTCCTTGCATGACATTGATCAAATTTAAATATGCAGTTAAAAACTATAGGGGAGACCGGGGATGGTTGTGACAGTTTCAACATTCCTGTCTGTATCTTGGAGCTGTTTTAAGCCAGTGTGTTCAAAATGTGATACAAGCTAGTTACACGTGTGTGCTATTAAATCGCGTAGCTGTTATCTCTGTAACACAAACACAAAATGCATGGTATGGTTTCACACACAAGGAGTGAGCTGTTGCAATTCACCCATAGTTCGGGTTAGTTGTAACACAGGCTGTGGGTGAAATGTAACATTATGAAATAAGGATTATGACAGAAACTGTTGATATTTAAGGTTTTTCATCAAACTACTTAACTACGTTTTGGACATAATTGATGTGTGTGAGCCAAGTATCCTATCTAAAATTTTGCTTAGGCTAGGTTGTTACTTTTTTTCACTTCTTGAAGCTAACCCAGACCCTTGTAACCATGAACTAGCTTACCTCACAGCTAACAGCTAAAATATTAGCACTTACAACTTGCGTGAAAGATGTCTACAAAGACATGTAATAAACATGATTTCAGTTTGATAAATGTCACTTCCTCACATGAACAATAAGGACGAAACCAAGCATGTGCACAGTGAGTCAGGTGATTTTTAGCTTGTTTCTGGTTGGAGAAGTGTTACAACCATCCCCAGTATCCCCTATACTGTTGGCAGCATCTGTTTCAAAATATACGTCTATGCTTTAGCCAGGGCAAATTGCTGGTGACCCTACAAACAGTTCAGACTCCTCATGAAGTATGCCTGATGTTGGTTGACAGTAATTTCCCTTCTTATTTGTTGCTGATCCCCAGGAGTGTACTTCCTGGGTAAATATGCCCAGAAGAAGATCAGGGACATCCAGGAAAGGGAGGCTACAGAGTACATTGCTCAGGCCAGACGACAGTTCCACTTTGAAAGCAACCAGAGGACCTGCAACATGACCGGTGATGATGTCACACGTCTTCCTGAATAATAATCCCTTAGAAATGCTTTTTTTTCCTTTTTTTTCTCAGAAATGGAAAATTAAGAGTTTGTCTTATGCAACACATACATGTTTTGTACTTCACTGTGCTGTATGTGTGTTGCAGTGCTGTCCATGCTGCCTCCACTGAGAGAAGCCATCATCAATCAGCTGAATTCAGAAAGCCTCACTGCAATGCTCAAGGCCAAGTAAGTAGATCTGCCTTTTAGGACATCAAACAATTCCTAATCCACCTACATACACAGTTCTACACATTCTTATATGTGAGTTGCAGTCTTGATGATGTAAAAAACAAAATTATGATGTTGCTTTTTCTTTTTTCACATCGTCTCACAGACCAGCCAATAAACTGGAAATCTGGGAAGACTTAAAGATCATCAGTAAGTTCTGTTCTTCACATTAGTCATCACTAAACCATCCTACACACTCTTTAATGTCGCACAGTTCTAATAAATTACTTGTAAATAATCCCATAAAATACTTTGATGCTCAAAAACTAGGGATATCCGATCGTCAGATTGGGTATCGGCTCAAATCATATTATTTTTACAAAATCGGTATCGGTAATAAAAGGTCGGAGGAATCAAAACAGCAAAAATGGCCAGGTTTTTCATCTATGTTGTTCATTGTTGCCTCCGCTTTCCAATGTATAAAGATATAGGCCTATTTTGTTTGTTGAAGACAAGAAGAATTTGTTTACATTTTGTGCTGCTGAACCACCGTAAGCTTTTTGGATACTATTTAAATAAAAAACAAACCTTATGGGACAACTTGGATGCATTTTTTTTTCTTTCTTACTGCTTTGCAAAGTATCGGATCGGACTCGGTTTCAAAATAAAGGACTCAGTATCGGATCAGATGCAAAAAAAAATGTGATCGGGACATCCCTATCAAAAACCTAAGAATTGTCAACTTATTTTTTGGGGGGGGCGGGGGGGGGTTCAACATCCGGTATTTGGTTCTTAATGTCTGAAACGTATTTTCTTGTTCAGGTTTCACCCGCACCATTGTAGCAGTGTACAGCACCTGCATGTTGGTAGTTCTGCTGAGAGTCCAGCTGAACATCATAGGAGGTTACCTGTACCTGGACAACTCCGTGGGCAAGAACACAACGGTGAGGAACACAATATTCACAAGCTTCTTTCACAGCACTGTTTCTGAAATTTGCATTATTAGTTACCAGTAGAAACTGCTGACATTTTTTTGTTTATGCAAATATTTGACATCAGAGTTCTGCTGCTGGAACCAGTCGATGGTGCTCTAGTCAGAGCAACAGATTATTCCAGTTTGTTAGTTGAGTCTCACACTAAAATCCGCAGTTTCAGACTGTTTTATAATTGGGTCATTCCCTCCACATGAAAGCTTGTTACATACAACTTTTGAAAGTAGTTACCTGGTGCTTAGTGTCCTGATGGAACTGTAAACCACAACTCTGAAAGAGTTGTTTAGAGTTGGGCTTAACGTAGAATATTTGACACAGAAAATCTCACTGAGATTTGTTGGCAGTGCTGTGATTTTAGAAGAACAACATACCAGAAAGGAAAATCTGAAAACAACCATTACCACACAACAAAGCCAGGGGAAATTATTTTAGGTTGATTTACCTATGTTCTTTTTTTTTCTGTCAGACTCCTCTGGCTCCCCCAGATGTCCAGCAGCAGTACCTGTCCAGTATCCAACATCTACTGGGAGACGGTAGGATGAACATTTGCACCCACATCAAAATCTCATAAGAGCACAATATTGTTCAACCATGTTCATCCTTGTTTTTGTCAGTCTGTCAGCACAGTCTTAACATTTGTCTGTCTGTCTGTCTGTCTGTCTGTCTCCAGGTTTGACAGAGTTGATGACAGTAGTGAAGAAAGCTGTACAGAACTCACTGGGAGGGTGAGAATCTATGACTGATAATTTGCACATTATGTTTTTGGTTCATCATGAATAATGCTCATTAGATCATTTTACAATGATGTTTCTGTGGTCTGAATCAGAAAACGTCATCATTTGTGCTTAATAAGTGACTTAAAATCATTTATTTCCAGCATCTCTCTGAAGCAGAGCCTGTCCGTGCTGGAGCTGGAGCAGCAGCTGAGCTGGATCAGAGCGGAGGTGGAGGCTGGCTCTAATCGGCCGATGTCCTGGTACATGCTGGCTGATGATGAGAATGCGCTCGCTGACCAGGTAGCTACACTCAGTATGATGAGTATGATACGCAGCAGTAATAACAGATAAGCATCTGGGTGCTTATCACATTCTCTTCTCCTCTGTGCAGGCATGTGGGTTGACAGAAAGCGATCTTGTGACCATTAGATTGTTAAATGAGACAAGAGACATGTTGGACAGGTAAACACCACACCTGTGTTTTTGTTTGTACGCCTGACTGTAGCAGTGTGTGTTTTGTGACTGATGTGTGTGTTTGTGTCTCCAGTCCGGACTTCACCACTGTCCTCAATGCCAGTTTCAACCGAGGTTTCTCTCGTCTTCTTGACAACCTGGCCGAGTTCTTCCGCCCGCCGCCCTTTGACTCCGCCCTCAGCTCTGCACCTGACAGGTCAGCTGTTTGACTGAAAATAATGTTTTTTGTTCGGTCAGAAGAACCACCAATAGTGTAATTGATTGTTGCTTTGTTTCTGTCCGTCCAGTCTGTCTGCAGTCAGTCTGCCGCTGGCGAAGATCATCCCCATCATCAACGGTCAGATCAACACCATCTGCAGCGAGACTCCCAGCCACTTTGTCCAGGTGAACCCAGGCTTTAGTCGACACTCAGCCAAACATATTTTAAAGCCAAGTACACTTTTTGTGAATGATCAACTAATCAGTCTGACACCAACATTTAGATAAACATATCCCAACTGCTGACACAAACAGGCTGCACTTGTGTGGTGTGTTTGACCACACAGATTGGCTCAATTACAAAACAAAGTCCACACGCTGTTTGCCTTTTGTTTGTCTTTTTCTTTAATGTTTGTTAAGTGATAATCAAACAGATGTTCCACGATGATCAATATACGCAGCTCTCATCAAACTATAACTGTGAATTTGTTATCAATGTACAATCTGACAGTAATTGGGGATCAGTTTAATGTTTGTAAAAGAAATGACAAAATACCAGTTTCATTTTAAAGAGTGTTTTAATTTAAGTGTTTGAAAAACAGATATCTTTTCCATCTGCGCTTATGGGCTGTTTATTAACACTGACTGCCTCAAACCTCTATACTTGTTTGGTAGCAACTGCCAGGTACCAAAAGCTGGCATCGAACATCTCGTCAGATCGTTATCTTCTTTACTTATTCTTTGACCAGACAGAGTTTGATGAAGATCACATTTTGTCCATTTTTAAACTGTATTTCATTAGAACAGACTTCTCTGTCAGTGTCTCTAACTTTGTGTCCGTCTCTCTCAGGACTTGCTGATGAACGACCAGGTGAAGGAGTTTGCTGCCAACGTGTATGAGACCTTCAGCACCCCACAGGAGCTGCAGAAATAACCAACCAAGCATCAGGAGAACAAGGAGGGGAAATGAAGAGGAAGAGGGATTAAAACATAAGAGTGATTAAAGCCCTGGACTAGTCGTCCCTCCTTCCTTTCTGTGAGACACTTTTCTCCTCCAAATCCAGACTTTTCACTCTGTGATGGTGAGGATTCATCGGAGAAATGTCCATGACAAAGCAGGACAGGGAGTGCCTGTGTTCCCTCTGTGAACAGAGCCTTTATGGATTACTGTACTGGTGGAAGAAGACGAGACTCGCACTGAGTTTGTAGTCACAGCAGAGCCTGTGGTTAACTCTAGGACCACTGCATCTTGGGAATTGGAGTCTTATTTAACCCGGTAAGGTGGTTTTATTTACCTGAAGAAATGAGAATCTCGCTAAGACTGTGAAAAAGAGGTGAAGGATCGGTCACAACTGTTTTTTTTTTTTAAACAAGATGACACTGAAACATTGTCGGTTCATCATGTTGATGTAACAGATTTTAGGATGATTTCCCCTTTTCTATCAGCAGTGGTGAGTGGCTTACGTCTGTTCTTGTTTCCAGCTTCGGTCTGCACCTTGGCTGTGCGTCAAAAGAAGTTTTTTCCATAACTCAATCCAGGTGGTAGAGGGATTTGTTGGACGGATTTTTTTGTGCTAATCAGTGTTTTTTATTTAACCATTTTTCTTGTCATTGTGGAGGAAATCTGCAGCATACTGCAGCATATTGAGATATTACAACTTTTAAAAATATGATAATCAAAGAGTGAGAAAAGGATGATTAAAATGTCGTATTAGAACAGCCAGTGGCATTGAGTAATACCAAATTAAAAATGAAGTCAGAGGTGTGTGACAAAAAATAGGACACGCACGCTTAAAAATGTATGGAGCATTTAATGCAGTGTCTTAATCGCAATTTCCTGATGTAGTTCCATTTTTATCCACAAGGTGTAGCTGTTCTTTAGCGAATGTGAGAATCCCTCTGCATCGCCCTCCTTCCCTTTATATGTAGGGCTTCATTCCAGCGATGTTTCTCCTGTTTTTAAGTCAGATAAAAGTAAGATCAATTTGCTAGTCATGATTCTGTCCTTGACAGCATTTGTATTACATCATGGTTTACATTTTAAATTACTCATAGCATCTAACGCTGTAATGGCCACAATCACTTTGTATTTTTCTCATCAATGGTAAATTATGTTGTTTTGTAATGACATCTGAGTTTTTCCACTCGTTCCTTTCTGGTTTACACTTTGTATGTGTGTTACTCTTGAAAAGTTGAATTGATTTTAGAGTCTCCTCTGTGGAAATTACAGAACTGTTATCCAAAGCCAAGCAATCTGGGATGCTTATAAATTTCCCACGGGGTCCAAATTCTGCTCCTCTCGACTCTGACTCTTCCCGCTCCTGATTAGCGACTCAAATCAGGTGTGTTCGGCCAAACGAGAGCTCGTGAGCACACCTGATTCAGCTGGTCACGTGAGATGAGTAGAGCAGGGAGAGGTGGACATAAGCAGCACCTGATACACTACTTATATCAACCCTTTACTTCGATTACAGACAACTGACGTCACCCAGGTAACTATAGTCACAGTAAAAATGCCCTTCAGAGCATTACTTCATTACCCCTATTTGAAATACTACTTAAGCTCTGATTTGCCCCACCTCAGTGCCACACAGGTTGGGTTAGCTGCATATAGAGATTATGAAAAGATCATTTATCCTCCTGCAACTGACAGCTCATTCATCTACCCATCATAAGACAAAATGATTTGTCTATATGTGTCAGTCAGCCTGTGCTATATCTGTTTAGGTGATGAGTTCAGCCATGTTGCTAGGAAGGAAAAACAACTATTAGCTCCTAAAATCTGCTGATTGGTCCTACAAGTCTGATGATAAATGAATAGAGCAAGGTAAATATTAAATAATTCAATACGTGGAGAGAAAAGTGACCTCCTCCACCACCTTCAAGTTTACCTGCGGATGATTATTTGTTCAGAGCAGGTGTGCACGTTCAACCTGTCAGATTTCTGTTAGTCTCCCTCTCAGGAGATGATGAAACGTCAGATGACAGTAAGTTAGTCTAACGGACTCCTGGATAACATAATAAACCAGTCAGGTGAGAATGTAAATCTCTGTAATCAATGACGTTATGCCTTTTGAAGCATAATGTCCTAAATGACAGCTAAAATGTATGTTTGTAGCAATTTATTAAAGAGATAATAAATGTAAAATGTGATTTAATATACATTTTGTGTTTCCTTGCTCTGTGCTCTGGGCTTTTAAACAATTCAAAACTTTTGTTATGTGTCAGGGTTTACTTGGAAGCTTCAAGCTAGTTATCAAACAGATTACAGGAAATGATTGTGTCAGCAGGGAGCGCCACAGTGCAGCAGGAAACAGTTTCATGTGATAAGAACCACCTGAATGGAAAATACTGGTCTTGGAAAATTATCACTGCATTGTCAGAGTGCCGACTCATAAGACATCATCAGTTGACCACTGATTACTGAATTTAGGAAAGAAATTTTCCAAATTGGAAATATACTCAAAGGCAACCTGGGTGTGACTTCCAAAGACAATCATTGTTTTCCATCCTGGTCTTTATGGAGAAGATTAAGAGACTAATATGACATCTCCAGTTGCACTCTAAGAAAACTGACTCACTCTAGTTTATTGGGTTATGAAACGGACTTTCCAAACGTGCAGTTAAAAAGGACATGTTTGGGAAAGTTTACACATAGATTGATCAAACAGATTTGTCTCAATCAAGGTCATGGAAGGGTCAAAAACAAGAACATCGCCTGCTAGAAAGCTGAGGTGAGCCTTGTGAGTGCTCTTGAATTTCCTTTGTGAAAAGGGTTTTATTTTGTGGATGAATTTTCCAGCGTCAACGTCAGGTGTCAAACTTCGACTTTGGAATGACACCGTTAACTAAACTGCAAATTGTCTAATATTTACCAAATATCTTTCTGGAGCTCATCGTTAAAGACACTATTTACATTATTCCCAGTTGTGAGTACTCCATTTCCTTTTTGCATTGCATTGTGGGAGATTAATGCCCATCATGATACTAAATATTTTCACTTTTCCTACACACAAAACCTGCTTAGACTTTGGGATTTCCTAGCAGCTCTGTGAGCTTTGAGCGAAAGGCTAACATGCTGATGTTTAGCAGTTGTGTTTCCCATGTTCACCATTTTAGTTTAATCTGTTAGGGTGCTTATATATGCTGATTAACACCAGACACAGTGTAGAGCTGAGGCTAATAGTAATGTCATTATGTTGACCTGATGATGGCGCTAAATGAAAAGTCAGGAGATCACCAAATTACTTCATTGCCTCCCAAGTGAAATGTGAATGTCTGCACCAAATTTCATGGTTGTCAATCCAATAGTTGACTTGACTCAAAACCTCAAATGTCAGCCTTATGTGTTTTGAAGTTCACCGTCACAGTCCAAACTCTTAACTTCAGCATAATGAAACGTGTTATTTAACACTGTGTCAGCCTTTGAGGGAACTTCCTGGTGATAGTCTTGGAAACACTTTACTGTACAGGCTGACGCCTGAATGCATCACTAATTTTGGTCTCAGTGAGGTTAATTTTAGGGAGGAGGAAGGACATTGAGGAGTATCAGTGTGAGAGTTGGGTCATCTGAAGGACACGTCTTCACATACTTTGTTATGTTTCAGCTTCATTGTTCAAAGGATTGATTCATCAGACACATGAATTCTGGACCTGCAGTTACTGACCCTTCCCAACAAGCATTTTTTGGTTTAAAAAACGTCTAATAGCCGTCTACATGAAGACCTGACGTCTAGGCTAAATCACGGCTGAATTTGGGCTGTCAGTGAAAATTTGGTAGACGTCTAATCATAGCCAAAGTGTAGACATCATCAATTATACGGCTATGTAGAGACCATGTCCAAAAAATGGAGATAAACATATTTAAATTACTGTTGACTCTCCATACGTGATTGAATATCATACTGCACGCCATCTGCAATGGCGAAAATTACATTTAATCAAAATTAAATCGGCTAGATTTGGGTTACATGTAGCTAGACTAAATTGGAGCTAAATATAGCCAATACGTTTAAATGACAACTATTGCTTGCTGGGTTCTGTCTGGTTAAACTACACTGTTTGCTTAAAATATAACAAACATATGTTACCTAACTATGCACTTATTTGATTATTTTCATACTCAAAGTTGCCTTAATTCTGCCCTTTAATTGATGTATGTGGCATTCATGTACTGAATGTTTTCTGTTTGACACACATGAAAAATCCCCTTATTTTTCTTGAAGTCAATATATTCCACATATTCCCTCTCTGACCTTGAATCAACAGGAATTGCCAGTGACAAACTGTTCTCGGTGAAACTTTTGAGAAGCCATTGGCGAAAGCTCTTATCAGAATGAAAGTGCAAACAGTGGAAAAAGCCGGCAGACAAAATATCAGCAGCACCAAAACAAAAAGATGTTGCACACACAAGTTCAAGGGTCATAACACCAATTGATCATCAGCTTTACTGATTTATCATATTTCAGACAAATACCTGTGACACTCAGGAATTTGAATTTGAAAAAATGTATGTCAAAAACAATTCATTTAAACTCTGTGTGTGTGTGTGTGTGTGTGTGTGTGTACTTGTACAGCTATCTTTGTGAGAACCATTGACCGTTTTAGGCCATGACATTGAGGACATTTTTGGAAAGTGAGGACATATTGACCAGTTCATACCTTCAGACAGATGTTCAAAGGCCTGTTTGAGGGTTCAGACTTGAATTGAAGGTTCTGGTTAAGAGGAATTAGGTTAAAAGAGGGGTAGTCTACATGCTGAGGGTGTAGCTTGTGGTGCACAGGCACAGATAAAATATTAGGGGTAGTGTTTTGGGTTAGGCATGTAGTTGTGGTGTTAAGGTCTGGGTAAGGGGCAAGGGAATTATTAATCATTATCTCAATGAGTATCCCCTCAAATGTAATTGGACACAAAGTGACATTCATTTTTTTTCCTGGTTGAGCGTGACTCAAAAGATGACCTCATCTTCTCTACTGATCCCCTTTGACGTTTTTCCTTATAAGGAGCGAAGATGATGTGTTTTTATTCCCCGTAGTGGGTGAGTGGATGAAATGGTTAAAAGAATGAATTGCTACATTACACTGAACTGAGGTGCTGCCGTGTGTTGTCAGAAGGACATGTTTGGCACAAAGCCCCTGCCACAGAATAAAGGACAATAAATATACCCATACCTTAATAGTCAAACAACAGTAAAAGATGTTGCACTTTGCCATGAAATAGGGAGTTAGATTAGTCAGATTACATCAGGTTATATTAGAACTGTACTATTTGATACAGTTTTAACCAAACTTTGAACAAGAAACGTAATGAAAAAGTTAAAACATCAAAACAAGATTTTTATGTTTGCATTTTACTATGTAATCTGTTGTTAAAGTCATCTTTTATGTTTTATGTTTACTCTAATGCTCAACTTCATCAAAAAGTCTGAACCCCCTAAAATGTAATGTTTTGCCTCGTGGGGACCTGCTTTTGTCCCCACAATGGAGTTGAGTCTCCACAAGGGTCCTTATGTGAGTTTCTAAACAGACTTTGTGAGGACCTTTGTTGAAATAATCCAGTCTACAGCCTCTTAATCTGAAATCTTAACCCTTAACCTAAACCTCATTCTAACCCTAACCCAAAAACCATGTCCTCATAAAATCAAATGGTTTACCTTGTGGGGACCTGTTTTTTGTCCCCACCAGAGAGTTGAGTCCCACAAAGTAGTTTAATCCCTATGTGAGTTTGTGAACAGACTTTGTGAGGACCCATGTTGAAATACTCCATTATCCAGCCTCTTAATCTAAAATCTTAACCATTAACCTAAACCTCATTCTAACCCTAACCCCAAAACCAAATCCAAACCCCCTACAATGCAATACTTTACCTTGTGGGGACCTGTTTTTTGTCCAAACTAAAAGCTTAACATTTAACCTAAACCTCATTCTAACCCTAACCCAAAAACCATGTCCTCATAAAATCCAGTGGTTTACCTTGTGGGGACCTGTTTTTTGTCCCCACAAGAGAGTTGAGTCCCCACAAAGTAGCTTAATCTCTATGTGAGTTTGTGAACAGACTTTATGAGGACCCATGTTGAAACACTCCATTATCCAGCCTCTTAATCTTAATCCTTAACCTAAACCTCATTCTAACCCTAACCCCAAAACCAAGTCCGAACCCCCTAACATGCAATAGTTTACCTTGTGGGGACCTGTTTCTTTTGTCCCCACAAGGGAGTTCAGTCCCTACAACGGAGCTAATTCGTGATGTGTTTGTGAACAGACTTTGTGTGGACCCCATCAATGCTCCAGCCTCTTAAATTAAAAGCTTAACCCTTAACCAGATCTCCATCCTAACCCTAACCCAAAAACATGTCCTAACCCCCTAAGACAGCCCCTTGCAAAACAAAATGTCCTCACTTTCCAAAGAAGTCCTTACTGACGAGAACACAGTGACACACTTTGTCTGGCAGATGGTTAAGAAATTGCCACATGATGAAAAATGCCATGTGGTCTGCAACACTGTGAGTGTGAGTGATGTGTTTGACCTCCAGTAATTTTTCCTTAGAGTTGCAACACAGAGCTGCCAGTCAGCTGCAACCTCACCACCTCATGACCTGCTCTGCTCAATCTGACAACACTCCTCTGCTGATTGTCTGATACGTGTCACCATGCCCATCGTGCTGACGAAATAATTTTTTGCATCCCAAAATAGAAGTGGAGCCCCACATAAACAAGCTGAATCATGCGGAGAGGCAGAATGGAGGCTTTGTTCTATAAAAAAAGGCCTTTATTTGCTGAGTAACTGTGTGTGGTGAGGCAGTTTCCATCAAAGCACTGCTGGGCAGAGTTCCGTTCAACACTGCAAAAACAGGTTCAGCTCATATTAGCCTGCACCAGATGACTACGTGTCACAGTTTGAACTTTTGTTGTAGCGTTGTTTGTTGTTGCTCCAGTGAGTTATCGTCTTTGCCCGGTTTGTGGCAGAGAGCTGGAAATCCCCCTGTTGTTGAGCTAGAAGTCTGAGCCGCTGATGTTTTTTAACCCTGTCTGGCTGCATGATGCAGATCACGTCTCAGCAACTGACCCAAATTGCAAAAGTAGGAAATAAATATGAGACTGGAACAGGTACATGCTGTTTGTCAGTGAGTTTGGAAAAACATGTCATGCTGCACAGATATGTT